AAATATATCAAATATGTCTGACATTTAGATCTGCAACGTTCTGCGTCACGTCTATCAATCCAATCCTGTTACAATATGAAGTGTTTTTTTTAATCATATAGGTGGCTTGGAGGGACGGAATATCATGCGCAGTAAAATATTACTGATCTATACTTCTCTGCAATTGCATATGCAGTAATACGTTACCACATCCACAGTCGTTATTTTTGCTAAAAGCGCTAAGAGCAAAGGATCAGTCTATTAATAAATTCAGCCAAGAGCATGTTGTTATAGTGATGAACTTTTTCCAGTGTTAAGTCGAAAGAAGTTCTGGTATATTCTATCTTAGTCATTACGCAGTTTTGAATTACTAATAAAAAATAACGCATCCTGATCTACATGCTGATTGTAAGACAGAGTATCATTAAAAAAGAATCAAAAATGGAAATAGAACGAATAGAATTTATGATTTACAGATCCTCAGATAAATGATATATTTTTATTATCTTACTGACATTAGCGCATTCAAATTATGTGTATAGGCTAAACAGATATTAATCCATTTTTAGATAAAGTTATAGGAATTAGCAGTACGTAATTCAACATGGGTGATTTATCATCTACTGTTTTATAGATCTCAATTCATGATGAATATTCTTTATTCTGATTTTTTGCAATAGGGACAGTCGCATATCAGCCAATCTAGATAATAAACGGTAGATATACCATTACTCTGTTAATATAAATTTACAATATATCAGTTTAGTGTAATTTTTTCATCTGAAAAGAAGAGAACATATCAAATAAGCAGTATATATTTTATTAGATAAGCTGTGCATATTTGCAAATCGTAGAGTACAAGGAATGTAAAATTTACGCTAATGCTCCTGATAATTTTATGATTAACTTTTCACAAAAATATTCATGCGGATCTGTCTGATATTTTTTTATAAATACCCTGCCTATTTCCTTTCACTTTTGATCTATATTATAGGGGATAGTAATGAGAAATTTTATATTGAACTGCATCACAAATGAAGAGAAGCTGCCTTTTTTATATTCGAAATAACAGAAAAAAATCATATTCCTTTGAGGTCTCACTCTTCGATTGATAAAGTATACTCAATAAACAGTTTGAACAGCATCTCATAGGCAGATAGATATTCTAGTTCTTCCTTCAGCCTTTCTTTAGATACAAATGATATAAGTGAAAAGGAATGGGAATGACTTTATAGTATAGTTTATTCATATACTGTACCTACATGATCCCAAAGGGATCTTAACGAATATTTCAATAAATTTTTTATTAATAAAAAACTTTTCTTTTGCATGGCCAAGCATTTACAAAAAAAATATTATTATTATTATTCATTGTTTGAAACATGTTGTGAGGATATGGGGATATAGAAATGCACTAACTTTTTTCGTCTTTAGGTACAGGTGCCAGATAGGATCTTGATGATTTTCTTTTTTCAGAAATAAAGGTTATATACATGATATCATTTTCACAATTATTCCAGGCCTATATTTCAACGCAAATTCTTTCTTCTAATTATACTAGTATTAATGGGTGATTCTTTTAGGATCCTTACTGTGAAACTGACTATAAAATGTATAAAAGGAATGTGGATTCACCTTTAGCTTCACTAGTGATAAATTATACTAATAAATCGTAAAAAATTACGCAAAATTACCTGTGATCTATACCTGAACATATTTTTTTTCTATTTTATTCTGAAAATACGTCTGCACTCATCTTGCAAAATAACACCTTGTGGCATATCTTTGAAGACTTTACAGCTTCTATTCTTCTTAGCGCCTATTTCTTGATTTATGTCATCAGAAACCAATTCTTCAATCACCCTCCTACACATAATAATAAAATTGCTAATGAACTTTCTGCACGTATGTCCAAAATTAATGGTATTCTTACCACAGAAATCGAAAAAAATAAGGCACGTAATAAAGGTATTACTGCGGAAAATCGAAAGAATCCTTAACACTAAAATCACCAACAAACTTTTCCTGAAATTAATTCTACTTTCACTGCAGAACTCAGAAGAATCAATAATGAACTTAATGGTAAACTTATTGCAGAAATCAAAAAAATCAATTCACGTGATGCTGACTATGTTTCTGAGGCACAGAGAATTTTATTGATAGTCAATAATATCGAAGAAGCCTACTGTAATGATTTTGCCTCAGTTAATGCTTTTATCGATGCTCTCCAAAATGGACTAATTCAATATTATGCAATTGTCAGAAGAAATCAGCCAGTCAAAACTGACTAACAAAGTGTATTGAACCATTCTGAAGCATCATCCAAAAGTTCATCTAGCTCAGGTCCAATAATATTCAAGGGTATTAGCTTAACTATCTGGACTCAATTCAAGAAAATTTTCGATAAAATTAGGGCAGAAAAAAGATTTAACTTGGAAGAAATGTGTCTTCATGTAGCAATAGAAATTCGCGAATTAGGTGGGAATATTAAGAAGGTTACGGTTCAAGGGTTTTATAAGAGAAATATCAAGAAGGATAGATACATTAGTATCTTAAATGATATTGGTTTATGGTTAGATAGCAAACTTAGTATAAATAATAATGCAAGTAGTGCAAATAATAATGCGGAGTAGTGAGAAGGAACCGCCATATTATTGGTTCAGAGGCTGGCGGAAAGCATGATATTATTTTATTTCGTGCTTTATTCTTCCCTTTAAATGAAATCTACTTCAATATCTTTTATTAGTTTCATTTTTTATTTAACCGGCCAGCCCTTTCTCACATATTACTTTACAAAAATATAATAAAGATTTTACTGAGTTTTTTAAACGTGTTTCGTGTTTTACAAATGTATTAAATAATAATTTGTACATATTCACAAAAGCAAAGAAATACGCATTAAATGGCGTACTTCCTCTCTTTTTAATTTGCTTTTCTCGCATTTTCTTGTATAAAGTTTTGCTTTTCCCCTTTCAAATTCTGAAAAAAGATTGATATGCAGTGAATATGTAATCAGATTACGCAATTGTTTAAACACAGTAAAATACAATACAATATGTTTGAGCAAATTCTTTATTAATATAAATGCCAATAGACATATTTTACTAACAGAAAATCATATATGCCACTAATTCTTTTGTCTTCTTGTTTGTTTTTTTGTTCTATTAGGAGTTGGTAGATTTAGCATCACTGTATGAATCTTTCGCTTGGAAAGCAATTTCATTTTTTGTTCAGCACGCGACTCGATTCTTGTGTTTTCTTTCATGAAAGACTAAACATAAATAAATAATTAATTGCAAGAAACAATGTAAAGTGAAGTGGAATCATATTTATTAGCACTCACAAAAAACTTCAAGCATGTTATTATTGCCTCAAATAGAAAGAGAAGATCTTGCTATATTGTGGGTATGCGAAAGCTTCCATATTCACGCAAATAATAAGATCTTAAATGTATCGTGCACCAAAACAGAAATATTTTATCACGATGCCCAGAGCACCAAAATTAGCCAAGTTGTTGCAATCTTTTACACCATCATTGAGCTGAAGAATAATTCGTTGATTCAATATATCATGCATGGTTCGCACCAATTTGTAATCGTGAACGTAAAAATTGGTAACATCATCAACATCTGGTCCTCCTGTTTGTTTATACACGAATGTTTCTTTCTGGATCTGCCATTGTCGTGTCAGGCCATCCGTACGTTTTGCACTCAAAACTGTATTAACGAATAGGTCGATATTAGAATTGCATCGATATTTGCTACTTCTGATTGGAACCTCGAGGCTATTAACAAGTAATAACAATGTTAACCACTACAGATGAATACTTTCTCAGAATAGGATAACTTACATTCTCCAATCTATACTACAAATAGTATTGAGCGTATTTTTCAAAATGGAATTCATAAATTGTGAACTATATTGTTTTTCTTTCAGATCACCAGACTTTATTATATTAAATGGTGCTTTAAAAGCTTCAACGCTAAAAAGAATAAATTCAAATAAGACATTATACCATTAAATATAAAAATACAGACATCATAAAAGCCTGAACGTACTATGGAGAGAGTATATTGTATAATGTATCCTTTATCACCAGATCTTCACTATTTTCTTTTTCGTCAAATAGCGATAGTTTTCGCTAGGCTTTCTCTCATTCGGTTAGGGTATCTTTTGGCTAATTGATAAACAACAATTAGGACTAGTTAATTCAAAAAATAATTCGAGATCATAGATCTTAAAATATACCTTAAAAAAAACTTTGAATTAATTCTTCCCATTTTTCCAATATTTTATGATTAGGATATGAATCCAAGATAAATTTTTCCCACGTCGCTTCAGGAATAATTTTTGTTAACTGTGAAGTAGGTCTCAAATCCATAATATCATTATGGCATAAACTGATAACAAAACAATGAATAAAACAGGTTCATATAATTATGGGAGACGATTTTACTCACTCAAATCCACTTTTACACTCATCGTGGTATTTTTCGAAAATTTCTTCCAAATTTACATTATCCACTTTCAATATTCCACTTCCTACTTTTCTAACCATAAACTCCACTGCTTCTTGTAAATAATCATCTGTAATATTGGTTATAATATCGATGTTATTGTTTAATAGTCTACTGTAGTTTTCATGGTAGTCCTGATTTTCTGGTGTCAATGTTGAAGATCGTTAATTACATAAGAATGTTTAATGATAACAAATTTTGTAGTGGTAGCGCAAAATATACCAATTCGCATTGTATTAAACTCTGCACTAGATTCTCGTAATTCTTGTTGCACTTCTGGTTGATAATGAAAATTAGTTGGTAAATTTGTACTTTCAATTCTATTTGCATATTGTGTAAGCTATTCACAGAAAGAAGTGTTAGAATAAGCAAATACGATCCAGATCCTTTTACAATTACTCTACTCTAACTCTTTACCATTTTCCCAAATACGTTGAGGTGCCCCAATAAGGCAGTTCGAATAGCATTTTTTTCCTCTTCTAAGTTTTGGATTTCCGTCCAAAAATTGGTCACTATTGAAGATTTT